GTTCTCTTACAGTGTTCTCTTATATGTTATAAATAAAATACTTGAAAAATCAAAATTAGCCAAACTGTTTCTTTGACTGTCCTCTTTGCTGAACAAGAAACATATTTTTACACAGATCAACCTTTTGATTAAGTACTGAGTGTTTTTTTGTCTCCTAAAAGCTCTCTAAATAACCTGTAAGCTTTTGTGTATGGGTTGTTCCAAATAGCATATGACAAAGCTTATTTCTTCAACCTGTTGCAGTTTTGTCTACAGGGTAAAAGAGAAGCTGTGCTGACTTGATAAAGGGAGCTTTTATTTGGATGTGCCAGGTGTTTGTAGCATAACTGAATTGTTTGGATAACAACAGTTGTTTGCTCCTTTGGAAGGACTGAAGAGAAAAAACAGGATTTGCCTTTGTGTGCACATTCTGCTTGGACCAAATGGATGTACTTTTTCCCTGGATTTGTAATGCTGTGAAGTGCAGTTCACTGGTTTTTTTAAGAGGCTTTAGGCTGAGTGATGTGATTTGCAAAAGATTTCTTAGTTGATTTGTCCTTCATCCTGAGAATCTCGGTGATGAGCTTGTATTAAAGTCTATGATTAAAGAATAAAACACCCTGCTAGCAGAAAGGTTCTAGCATCCAGTTATTTCTGGCTGTGAAGTCTGACAGTTGTCTTCAGCAAGGTAATACAGTTGGCAAGGAGTGGTTTGAAAGACTTGGCTTTGAGAATGAATGAAAATACTATAAAACATCTGGTCATAGAAATTAACTTTGAGTCAGTGACCAGAATTTCAAGACAAGCAGAAAGAGATAAGAATATGCCAATCTTAAAAAGGTAAACTTTGAGAAATCAAACACTGTTTTTCCAGACAGGGTGCACTTCAATTGCCAGATTCATTTGCCACAAGACCTTTCAAACCCAAAAGTTAAAAAAGGAAAGGTCGTTTTGTAGGAATAGCAGGTAAAAGAAAAAATGGATAGATCCAGAGAAAAAACATTGTAAAGAAAAATTACCACCCAGACTTAAACCCAAAAGTGTTTATGTAAGATCTGTCTCAGGAAGTCCCTAACCACCACTTGCTGCTGACAGGAAGCAACATCTGGAAAACAGCTATTGTACCTTTGCATTTTTCCTGTAGTCTTTTTTGAAGCACTTTCTGCTTTCTGACATAGGATGGCGTATGTTTAAAAATGTTAAAATGCATCACTCTTAAAGTGTTTAATCTTCTGTAATGTATTTTTCCTGATTAATGGGAAAAGTATTAGGAAGTAGCTGGGTTTTGGGGGAAAATGAAAAAAAAAATTGACAGTATTCTGGAGAAAATCTGATTTGTTTAGGGGGAAAGCTTTGGTAGAAAGCTCCAGACAGCTTCAGAATTTTTTAGCCTGTTTCAGTGGATAACAAAATTATTTGCACCAGTCAGAGATGATTCACAGTACAGCTTCTTGAATGTAATTCCAGTTGAGTTCTTGGTAACATTTTCTTTCACAAACTGGTATCTTAGTTTGAAAGTTCCTTGGGTTTTGCTGCACTTATTGATCTGGTTTTCTATATTAGGCTTCATCTCTGTGACAAATGTGGGATGGTTAATTCTCAGGGTTGAATAGGGTGAGGTTACTCAGGAAAGACCGTGGGATCAACATCAAATTTTAATTTTGTTAGTTGAAGTTGCTGAGACAGATTGAACCAAAATAAAGTGCCCTCTCTAGCTCTACATTTTTATAAGGTAAATTTTGCTTATGTCACATGATAAAAGAGATTGCTTGAAGTACTTGCTTTATTCAGAGTTAGAATCAGGGTCCATATGTCTTGTACATACAGAGCCTTCCTGCTGCAGCAAATTAGTCCATGTAACTGCTGTACTCCAAACTCCCCTTCAGTAGTAGATATGGAGGAATAGACCAGCACATTTTTTTCAAACTTGTCATAGAACAGTAGAGTTGTGGCTTGAAGAGAACCCTGGACATTATCTGGCCTACCTTCTGTGGAAAGCAGGGCCATAAATTAGGTTACCCAGTGTCCAGTCAAGCCATATCTTGAGTATTTCCAGCAAGGGAAATTGCCATCCTCCTCTGGGAAACCTATTTCAATATTTAAGTGTATTCACAGAGAAGAAATTTGCTTATATGCAGACAGAATGCTCCCCATCACTTCTTGACCTGCTGCTATCACTCTGGAGAGTGGATTTCCATCTTCCCTGTGACTGCTCTGTGTGTACTGGAAGAGCAGTCAGGTTCCCTTCCTGCCCCTTCACTTCTCTAAGGTGAACAAACCCAATTCCTTTAGCCTTTTTTCATATGGCAAGCTTTCCAATCCTGTAATCACTTTGACAGTTGTCCATGGGACCATGTCATAAATGTGTAAAGTCTCTCTTGAGACATTTTATGATGAATACATTTCTGTGTGTTACAAATCACATGGTGTTGCCTTAACAAAGGTTTGTCTTCAGATTTTTTTAGAGTATTCCAAATCCTACCAAGGTTAACCAGTATATACATTTGGTTTTGTAGAAAATTTTTCCAGCCCTTAATCCTTGGAAAATATCCAGTCTTCTTGAAACCAGCAATACCACAAAACAGTTGGCTTTTTTGCCTATGAGCTAATCTCCTAACAATGGTGTCTTTGGTTTTACAAACTGCTGACTGTAGTAGTTTGGACTTTCTACCACATAGCTAATTGATAAGTTACTGTCCCTCTGTCTTCTGCTTTGTTTAGTGTGATACAACCACACTACTGTATGTAGGAAAATGCTTTCATAAATATAGTCGACTACAAATTGGAAATACATCCTTGCCTCTTCTGGTGCTCCTGTCAAACCAGTGGCACTATTCAATTTGTGAGGAGCAAAAATGGAAAATAATTACTTTCCATAGATTCTCTTCTGTTACGTGTGCCAGCTACCGCGTGTCTTGCAGACTCTGCTTCCTGTACTGAAGGAATGCTCTGTGCCCAGACATCTGTGTTACACAGCGGCATATGTGCATTCAGGGGCTGGGAATATCTTTAGAAGTGTACATGATTGTAAGTAGGGAACTAAATTGTTCATTAAAGCATTTAACTTTTTTTTTTTTTTACCTCCTTTTACAGCATGTGTTTGTGGTTTTCACAGTCATAGTACAATTTACCAAATAACTGTAATAGTTTATTATAGTACTTGATCAAAATGTTACCTCAGAATAATAAATTGAAATCCCCAGGTTTGTGTGAAATACTTCTCTATCAGCTAATTATTTTTTGTTGCAAAGTAGGGAATGTCTGACTGACAAAAATATCGTACATCAGCCGTTTCCTAGCTTACTTGCATTTGCAGAATTGCACAGACCCTTAACAGACCACTGTGCATGAAAGTATACATCAAGTATGCAGTAGTGGTGTGGTTTAACCACCTAATTTTTGTTAGCCCTACTATCTTTCAGTATAGTTTTATAATCATTATTAAAAAAAAATTTAAAAAAGTAAAAAATACACATTTGATAATGATGCAGGTTTTCTGTCTTTATCTGCACAGATGTTTTTTGTGATCAGTTTTGCAACAGTGTATATTTGTGAAACAATTTTAGGTGCTGTAAGTTTTGGATTACACCTCGTGCCTTCAAATTGTCATAAACCCCCCCAAATTCTGAATTGTAAAGAATAAATAGTGCTGCTCAGGTAAAAGAAATCTGTGGCAGAACAGAAAACTTTTTAACTTGCAGGAAAATACCTTAAAAAACTGATTTCTCTTTGTTTCTGTTACTGCTATTTAAAGTAATACCTGCTCAGCTTTTCTCATTAGTATAAATTTGTACATGTGGTTTACTTGACTGAAAGTGTTTTGTCTTTCATAGCATGTTATGTCAGTCTTTCATAACGAGGAACCAACTGCACACTGTAGTTGTTCATGAACATTTTAAAGCTTACATTCTCCAATTCAGGTTCTCCAGAACTGAGTGAAGCTGAATAGCCACTGATTTTTTGAGGGCTTGGGAGTATTTTTCTTGAGATCTCTTTGTTAGTACCCATCAACTCCAAAGTATGCTTATTATCTACCTCAGTGCTACTTTCTCAGAAGACTTGAGTATTGAATAAAGAAAATAATAGGAGAAGCTTAACTGTAAATCAAGACACAAGTATACAGACCTAAGTTTGCATCCTGCTGAACACTGCAGTTCTCCATAAATATTTTTTTCAGTAAAATTTAGCCTTGGAAATTGTTGTCTGGTGGATGGAGGACTCAAAATGCGCTAACCGGGTGGCATTGACTGCTACATTTGAAGTCCACTTTTTTGCCATATTCATGTTTTCCTGTCTTTAAACTGTTACTAATATTCTTTGTTTGAATTCTCCGGTAGAAGTTTAAAAGCTTGCTATTACAGGTTTGGAGTTTTTTTACCAACTTAAAAATTATTTGTCCCCTTTACACAGAGTGATTTTCATTAATAAATGTAGTCCTGGATTATTTGGCTGTGCTTTTCCTCAGCATGTGTTGTTACTTCCATGGGACCATAAACTAGTGAACACTGTTGTCTGCATACAATATCCAGCTGAAAAATTATTTCTGGGGACAATGGAGAAAAGTGAGTATCACTGGAAAATGATACTTGCCTGTGGAAGAAGCTGCCCATGAGCTCACTCTCTGGAAAATATCCCGGTGGCCTCACATCCTAGTTTTTTTCAGTGCACAGTAGCACAAATGTGAGCCAAAGTTTGAAAAGCTAGTGCTGTGTGTTTGCTTTGGCATGGGGCAGCCCTGAGGCTTTCCTTTGAGAAACGGGTCTTGAAGTCTTCTGCTGAAGGGAATAATTTTGTCATTCCTCTGTGCAAAATGAACTGATTCTTATCTATGCCTACTATCACATCATATATATAGAAGAGTTTAAAACATCACTGCCAAGATTAAAACAAAAATCATAAAACTTAATTTTACAGAGCACAGGGCAGATAAACAGCTTCTGGCTGCTATATTTATTAAAAATTATGCAACTGTTTCTGTTTGAAACACTAGATCAATTGGTTGATTGATTTGTTTGTTTCAGGAATTTATCTCTTGGATTTAATCTACATAGATTCTGCATATCCTGCTTCAGACAGCATAATGGAGAATGAACAGAGATCCAATCAAATGAACAATATTCTCCGAATAATAGCTGATCTGCAAGTATCCTGCAATTATGGTTGGTAAATTTTGTTATGCCTATCAAGTCTTAACTAAAATTTCTTTAGTGTGAAATTGTGGAAGCAGATTTTGAGACAACACGAGAAGCTAATGTTGGTAGAGTTGAACACTAGTAAGTGATGTAGCTTCCACTTCTGTGTAGCTTCAGTCTTACCAGTACATTGGGCAAATAAGCATGTATATGAAATTGTAAGAGCTATAACAGAGGTTGTGTAGAGTTTACTGTTACCTATGGGGTATAAAAGACTTACTTTCAAGTGACTTATATACTGTTTCCACCAGAGGCAATCAGAGAGAATTATCTTAACATCTTCCCTTTACTTTGCAGTAGATACGATGTCTAGAGTGTGGAATGTGTTCATTTGGTTATCATTTTATTGTTAGCATCCTGGTAAAATGAAATACAGATATTTCAGTCTACACTGCAGCTGTTCAATGTGCTAAGGTTTTGCACATATGTTGCTCCTGGATGAAGTCAGGAAAACGAGGGGTTGTTTCTTTTTCATAACATAATTTTACTCTAAAAATAATTTCTGCAGTTCTAGCCTGCTAGTGAAGCTGTATATCAAGAAACGTGCTGTTTTTGGTGTCTTAGGGAATACTCAGTGTACTCTTGGTGACTTTGCATGACTTTTCATTGCTTAAACTTGTAACAAGCTGAAAAGCCTTGAGTGCAGCTAAACAATAAAATTCAGAAAATTTAAAAGCTGCAGTTTTGGAGAGCTTGAAGAAAAAGGATTGTTAGATTGTGAAAAAAACAAGGTGAGATGTTAACTGTGTATGCTTAAGTGTGCAGCCCTTTTTTGTCAGCTTCGATATTTCGAAGTATTTAAAGGTAGGAACTAGGCATAATAACGTATGATTCTGAACAGCTAGATTATTCAGGTCTCATTTTCTTATTGCGAGTTTCATATTGTCTCTGAATACTTTGGATGACAAAGAAACCTCTTTATTTCATTGAGCCTTTCCTTTTTACAGTTTTGGTATCTTGCTGCAGTGCTATGCATTAACTTTGAGTCCTTTGTTGAAATTAAGATGAAAATTAAAATGCGGCCTTGAAACAATATTCTGGGATAATGGATGCCTTTAAAACAGTTACCAAAACTTAAGTTAGGTACTACAAGGCATGTTCCTGTCCATGCACCACGTGTCGAGAGGTTTTTCTGTCATTCTGAACTTAGTGTCTTTCATTCTTGATATTCAGCATTGTAATTATTAATTAGTTATTTAATAACTTTTAAGTCTCTTTAGTTCTTGGACATATGAGAACCACTAATACCTATAGCTACGAGCTTTGATTTTCCCCAGAACAATGAACGAAAAATTCAAGCAGTTTTGCAGCAGATAATTTTTTTCCACCTGTGAGATAGCACCTAATAAAATCCACCAGGTTTCATGATGATGAAATGCATCTGTGTTTTCTTTAACAACTGAAAGCATCACTTTTGCTCAGTCAAGTCTTTAACACCTTTTTAGAGTCAAAGTAGTATTTCTGCCCAGTTTATTTTTTAGGGAGGTTCAAATTCTGTTTCCATGAAGGTATCATAAGAACCAGAAAAAAACCCCTGAAAAAATTATAATTTTGGATGACGTAAATCTTAATGGTTTTTGTTTGTTTGTTTGAACACTCCACAGATCATCTCACAACACTTCCCCATGTGCAAAAGTATTTGAAGTCTGTCCGTTACATTGAAGAACTTCAGAAGTTTGTAGAAGATGACAATTACAAGTAAGTACTGCTCTTTTCTTCAGGCATTGGGAAATGTAACAGAAAGATTACTTAGTCATTAGTTTTGTTAAGAGCTGAGCAAAAAGCTCTTGGCTGAAGATGTTTTAGGGTGTTTCTGCTAAGTAAAATTCAGAATGACTGTCTTTCTTTGACTGTAAGCAAATTTACAAAGTGAAATACACTAGTGAAAAGTAACAGTTCAGTGTAGATGAAAATCTAGTCTTTATTCTATTACATGATGATTGTGTTCTGAGAATTTTGTTCAGTAACACTAAAGTCATCTCCAAGATGTCCAGGATTGACTCTACAGTATTATGAATAATACCTTGAGAACATATACCAATTTCAAGTTATTAGTTTTAATAAGTTAATACTTATGATTTGGGGGTTTAAGTTTTGACGGTTTAAGCGTATTAAAACAATGTTTACAAAAGACCTGGAGAAGAGTTAACCCACACAGAGGTTTGAAGCAGAGCACATTGGTCAATATGTGAATGTACTCTAGTTAAAAGAAGTGATAATCCTTGGCCAGTAATTCTGAGACAACTAGCAAATTAAGTCATAGACTAAGGAACCAAGGTTTTAAATAGCTCAACCAAGCTAGATGCAATGCTATACAATTAGCTATTGACAAATATTTAGGTGAGCAGAATTTGAAGTATTCAAAACAAACATATGTTCAGTCATACAATGCTAGTATAAAATATTTTAGCATATGTTTTAGAGAGCAGAGTTGGTAACGAACTTCCTTAAAACCAGTCTTGTTACCAGTTTTGTTAAATACTTCAGTTAAGAATTTTGTCTCAGAATTTATGTGTACTTAGACCGTGTGCTAATAAAGCAGTGATGGAAGGGTTCATTGAAGTAGAACGTGGTTTAGATATCACAAAGAAAGAATCTGATGACTAAAATGATAGTGCCACAAACCCCAGAATGTTATATAATTATTCTAACATTAGTTTATGGTGTTGATCTGTAGAAAGCTGTCACAAGTGAGCTACAGCCATGAAATGATTCATCCCTACTGCTTATCAAATATAGTGTTCCTATGAAAAAATAGAGTTGTTTATACTGCTTCAGAAGGAGCTGGTGAGAGCTTACATGGAGCATTGTGTGCAGTTCTGGCCATCTATGCTTGCATGCTTGAGGGTTTAAATAAATGACAGTGCAATCAGATGAATAAAATCTATCTTCTAACCCTAGATGTAAAGAACTAGGTTGGGCCTTAACCTGGGAAAGGAGAAGTTTAGGTAAGAGAATCACTATGTATAAACACAGCTGGAAGAAAATGGGGAGGCTAGAAAGAAATTTAAATGAAATTGTAATGATATCACAAGGATAAAACGCATAGAAAATTTTTAGAAGCTAAATGTTGAAATGTGGTTTGTAACTATCAGAGTAATGGAATTCTGGAACCTCTTCTTATTTGGAGTAGTGAGACAAATAATAAAATAATTTTAAGTTGAAACCTGATCAGTTAATGAAGTGGAGGCTACCATTTAGTGTTTGTGAAAAGAGAAGAGCATATTCAGTAATCAGAAGACTCTACATTACCGTGTGGAGTCATGTACACATGCATGTCAAGAGTGACTTGCACCAACCATTTACATTTTGCTGCAATTACTGCTGATGCTGCTGGCATACAGGTGCAGCCTCCTACTGAGATGGAAGAAAAGGTGTCATCATAACAGAGACAAAACAACCCATGTTTTAGCGTAACATGAGTCAGACAGTTTGTATTTTCAATTTTGAATAGAGCTGCAGTTGGTGGTAACTCCAGCTGCTCCTCTGAGCTCGGGCTCCAGCAGGGCGCATGCAGGACTATACCTTGACCAGATCTGTTGATAGGAATTCTTGTGATGAATTTGTGTGGAACTTTGCTTTCCCTGAGAGAGCAGTTCTAAAAGTAAAAGCATTCAGATAAGGTGTTCTTTTGGAACTTCTCAAAGTATTATCAGGGCATACTTCAAATAGAGATAAAATGTCTAAAATTTGTCCCCTTGCTTAGGCTACACTTCCGCAAAAGAAGCTGTGCACTGGGTCATTCACTTCAAAAAGAAGCTGAAAGAGCATTGGGTCATTCACTTCAAAAGCTTGTGCTTGGTGATGAGTTGAGATGTTTGTGCTTTTGTGTCTGGTTGATCACAGATACTAAGAATAGTGATTTTTCTCTAGGAAAATAATTTGGGAAAAAAAAAGAAAGTGTTTGTTGTTCTCATAGCAAAATGTATCTGCTCCATGGAATTGGAATTCCTGCCAGAGTGCTATGGCAGAATGTGTAAATTCTTACTAATTTCACACATGCTTCTGTGCTCCATTAAAATTGTGAAGACAGAAAAATTAAACTAAGTAGTCATTGGTAAAGGTGAAGGACTGTAGTTAGTAGAGACTACAACTCCTGGATTGGATTAAAGAAACTTCATATTGTTCAATTTGATTTTTAGATGGAGTTTTCTGATGATGCAACAGTGTTAACACCATGTATACAACAGCTTTCATGACCTGTACTATTTCAGAAAAAATGAATTAAACAAGTGTTTTCCACAAACATATGATACCATAACATGATATTTGTAAAAAGTTGAAGTAATTACATTTAAAATTTTAATATTACTGTAACTTTAGTAGCAATCTTGCTAATAATGCTTGAATGTATTTGATATATCTTAAAGTTCATTTAATCATTTTTAAAAAAAAACTAGTTATTTGTGAGATTAATTCAATCAAGTTTAGTGGTTTTCTTTCAGGCTTCACTGTGGCAAGGAAAAACTGGACTAAAGTCACAAAAGGTATTAAAAAGAGGGAAAGATTTGATTCTTACCACCACAGGAAATTTGCTACAGCTTATATACTTTGGAGAACTTTGATCTTTTTCTACCATGTTTGTTTCATCAGAATAAAACTGTAATTTTTAAAATAATTAATTTAATTAATTCATCAAAACTTGTCAGATCTACCCTTAAAGAAAACTTTCCTTCCTCTTCCATTTTTACACTGGGTAAGAAGTTTTTGGATTTTGTTTTGAGTGTTTGATTTCACATTTTCCTCTCAGTTTCCTTTTAGTTTCATAGCATTTTTTGGTCCCCTGCTAGAAGAAACTCTAAGCTTTAAAAATGCAGAGAGTACTAAGTTTTTAGAGTGGGTAAGAATCTCTTCTGTCTTTTTCTTTGCAGTGACTGCTCTTTTTGAGCCAGGGACAGCCTTAGTGCTCTCTGCAGAGAAGTGTGTGTCACCTTTGGCATGAAGAACAGAACTATCTCAGTACCAGGCTGTCAGGGAGAGACGCTTAGATAGTTGTCCTAAAACGTGTTGGCAGAATCCCAGCACGCGTTTGCCAAATGAGAACCTCAATTACACTGGAAAGGAAAATATGGCAGCCACTTTATATAAACAAAGCTTTTCTCTACAATTTTTTTGTGCCAGTCCAATTGCTTCCTTTCGGTTTGTACTTGTCAGCAAGTAGGAATGCTCCAGAAAACCCCTGACAATGATGTCATATCCTAAAAATAACGGATCTTTCTTGGTCAGCCCATATACTGTTTTCTGCAGAAGCTGCTCAGTTTTAACAGTGTGTAGCATTGTGGCGCAATGCTATATCCTCTCCTAACCAGACATACCTTGCAGCCATTCCTAGAAATTTTTTCCTGACCTTTTGGCATCGTTAGGTCAGGCCATGTATTCTCACAGTTGTTTTTTGAGTGAAACCAGTGTGAAGACTGTTATTTGTATTACACTATTATCAGTGTGGACAGGACAGGACAATCAGGCTGCTACCTGTGCCTGTGATTTGGTTCTTCAGTGCATATTAGCCAATATAGCAATAAGATGACTTACAGAAAAATCAGTTCAAATTTAGGTTCAGATAGGCAAGATGCTGTGGGGAAACATTCAAAAGAAATTGATCAGCAATTAAAAGGCTGTATTGATTCCTAGCAATGATGGTGCTATAGAAGTCCTAGCTGTACTCTGTTAGTTCCAGTCCTATGGGAACAGGTATTAAATGCCAGGTGCTTAGTACTTATAGTAAGTGTTAGTACTTAAATTAGTACTTGCAGCAGTGAACCTTGGTTGCAGTTTGTCTTCAGTAAGCCTCCCAGGCAGCTATATTCTCTGGATCTTTTCCACCAAGAATTGTGGTGAAAAGTGGGTGGAAGAAAACCTTCACTGTTAGTCTGAGATTCATTGTGATCCAGTGGCCGGACGGTTCAGTAGCTGTAATTGCGGCTTGACTGCCCCTTCCACAGGACACAAAATAGAATCACAGAAGCATGGAATCACTAAGGTTGGAAAAGAGCTCCAAGATCATCAAGTTCAACCTTTGACTGATCACCACCTTGCCAACTAGACTAGGTAAACTGAGTGCCACATCCAGTTGTTTCTTGAACAGTTCCAGGGATGATGATTTCACTACCTGCCTGTTCAGCCCTTTCCCAATGCTTGACAACCCCTTCTGTGGAGAAATTCTTCCTGATGTCCGTCCTGAACCTCCCCTGGCACAGTTTGAGGCTATTCCCTCTTGACCTGTTGCTGGTTGCCTGAGAGAAGAGGCTGACCCCCCAGCTGGCTGTACCCTCCAGTCAGGGAATTGCAGAGATGGTCCCCCTGTGCCTCTTTTTATCCAGGCCATGAGCTGCTCCTCAAATGTTTTATCCTTTAGGTCATTTCCCAGCTTTGCTGCCCTTCTCTGGGCATGCTCCAGTGCCTCAATGTCTTTCCTGCAGTAAGGTTCCCAGAGCTGAATCCAGTATTCGAGTTTTCGCCTCACCAGTACAGAGGGACAATCACTTCTCTAGACCTGCTGGCCATAGTACTTTTGATACAGGCCAGGATGCCATTGGCCTTCTTGCCCCTATACCTGGGCATACGTGAGCTTATGCTCAGCTGTTGTTGATCAGCATCCCTAGGTCCCTTTCTCCTGGAGCACTCTCCAGCCACTCTTTACCGTCCTGTAGCAATGGATGGGGTTGTTGTAACTGAATTGCAGGAGCCAGCATTTCGTCTTGTTGAACCTCACATCATTGATCTCAGCCCATCAATCCAGCCTGTCCAGTCCTTCTGCAGAGCATTGATGCCTCCAGCACATCAACACTCCCACCCAGCTTACTGTCATCCATGAACTTACCGAGAGTGCACTCGATCTTCTTGTCCAGATCATCAACAATGATATTAAATAGGGCTGTGCCCAAGACTGAGCCATGGGGAACCCCATTAAGGACTGGCCCCAACTGGATGTGGCACCATTCCCCACCACTCTCTGGTCCCAGTCATCCAACCAGGTGTTTCCCAGTGAAGAGTCCACTTGTCCAAGCCATGGGCTGCAGCCTCTCCAGGAGAATATTGGGGGATACTTGGGGACGGTATCCTTCCAGCAGAAGGTCCCAGCAACCTACTGTTGCTTGACCTACTGTCAGAGGACCTCCTGTTTAAATGCTAGACTGGCAGCCCAGAATGTCCCAGATATGCCGGACCCATCTTGTTGGGTACGCAAATAATGGTCAGAAATGCCCTAAGGGACAGCTTTGAGGACTGCACTGCTTTGGTGCAACTAACATCATCCTTGTTTCAGCAAAGATTAATAAATTTTGTTCAGCCTCCTCATGGAGCAGCTAAACTTCCGTGAAAGATTATTCTTTGTCTTCATTCACTTGCTTGATACAAGAAAAATTGAGTTACAGTGCCTGTACTGTCCTAGCAGTAGTTCCATCCTGTACTGGAGAGCAGACTCCCATGAGAAAGAACTATGTTCAAGACTGACTTCCTGTTTTATTTTCTGCATTATGTTAGGTTCCTCTTTTCCTGCTTGCTAGGAAGGTTACTCTAAAATGAGCTGTATGGTCCAGTAGCAAAGTGTTATTTAAAACTAGGTTGAAATAGAAGTCCGTCCATCTTACTTTCCAGAGCATACCTGCCCTAACATGTTCAGAAAATATTTTGAGTATCAGGCTTAAAAAAAACCAGAAATTGTTCAGCCATTTTGCTACAATCCAAGAACAAAGCCTTCACGTACTCTTCCTGTGCCTGTTCCTGTAGAAGCTTTGTCTTAATTTCCGATGGTGGGTTGGTATTTGTTAATTCAGCGAATCCCTATGCTGATTTTTTTCCCTAGAGATTTTACTTTCAATTTTTGTTTGACCTTAGGTTATTAATACTAACTCCTCAGTTTTGAAGCTTCAGTATCTTGTGGACAGTTTCTGAGGCTGATATCTAGGATTTATCCTGATGTGTCTCTTAGCTGAACTCTTGCAGTATAAATTTGGAATGTTGAAATTTCATATGTCGACATTTAGACCATGCACTAAAACTAGGCTTCCTTACCATGGTAAAACAAAGATTTGTTTTTTGAAAAGGTTTCCTGAAACAAAAAATAAATCCTAACAGTACTGTGATATTGGATGAATATAGTGACTTCCGAGATGAATTTCTGATGATACGCGGGGGCAAACACAAAACTGAGTGTCTTTATGCCTTATGAGTGGTTTGTTAGGCATGCTGGAACCAAGGTAGTTTTTTACTTAAAGTGATGCTAGTGATTGACATTGAACATTCAGCTGTGAGAATGTCGTTAGGTGTATGAGGATATGGATGATGCGTGTTGGTGGTAAGCACATCAGGTCTCAAGGTATGCACTGATCTATTGAAAGTATCACACTAAGCCTCTCAGGAGCCACAGATTCTGGCTCAGAAGTCCTCTTTGGGAAACATTGAGCATGTGTGTGCATGTGTGGAACTTGTGCTGCTCAATGGAAAATGGAATGTCAGAGGAATTGCAAAATTTCATTTGGGTGGTTGAAAATAGATAAATTGCATTCTAGTTTTTCTGGAAACATTGCAGAATTCTGGCATCATGGAAGTCAGAGACTTAGAAAGGGCTAAGATTCAGAGTACAGTTTAACACAACCAAACAGATAACCAGCATTATCTAACTTCACATATTCTGGGGAGATGACCAGTGGAGAGTGATGTACTCTCATTTGATAGCACTGAAGACTCATTTGTTGCTCTGTCAGTAAATTTCTAAGTGCAGCACACAACACGCGTGCTTTCTAGGAGGTGTAATCATAGCATAGCTCTTCCTAAAACCTTGTTAAAAGCATAAAGATGTTAGGCTTTTCTTCCTGCTGTTATGTTCCTCTTTTCTTCCTCACAAGAATAATTTTAGACAGAAAGAGAGAGAAATAGTGTAGTGCAAGTAGTTGCATGGAAGTTGATCTCACTTGCTTTTGTCACTAAAGAAGGTGTAAGAATGCACTTGCCTTAAATCTTCATTAAGAACTTAATTATTTTGCCTTTTTTCCATACTGAAAGAAATTTCCGTGTGATCAACATTTGAATCGTGCACTGACTTGTATTATTGTAACTCTAGGAGAGTTATGTTACTGCTTCCTGGTTGCAGAAATCAAGTGGACAGAAAGAAAAGTAGTCTGGAATGGAATGATTCATTACCTACTTGAAATACATTACTTTTGGGTAGTTAAAAGTACTGTCAGAAGAATAGAAATTCGAAAACATGAAAAGGACCATGGCTTTGTTAACTGACTTCACACTAAAATGTAATTGACAATGTTGGAATACTGTAGAGAAGGAACTGAAAGATAAAGAGTAATAAGGCAATGGCTGAGCCATACGTGGTATTTTGAAATGCTGTCATAGGTTTCTCCCTCCACCCTGTTGCATGTTTTTATCTGAAGTCAGAAAGCCTTTCCTTGGGGTGCACAGCAGGGTGCTGCAGCTGGAAACTTTCCAGCTTTTGTGTGTGTTCACTGCTGGGCAATGACAGCAGTTATTTCCTTTGGATTTATGCCTATTCCATTAAAATTTACTTAACATTGTAGTCCTTCATACCTTTTTGTTAGACTGGTACAGAGCAAAGGACCCGAGAATGTCAAGTTAAGATTGCCTAAACATGAGAAATGGCAGAAGTGATGTGCATTGGGACATTGAGATTTGTTGGAGGGCTGAGAGCACAGGAGTGAGTGAGTACATAATAAAACACATGGAGTGAGGCAGTGTGGCATATAATACTTTCTTCTAATTACTTTATTATTAAGTGTTGGTCACTTTGCCCTATTAAGCTTCTTTTCTATAAGTCACAGTAACAAAATAGCTATTTCTGTGTGCACATTTTGACATGGTAACAGTAAATTTGCTTTCATGTTTAGAGGGAATAAAATGTTAGGTTTGTATCTAAATTACTAACTTTTTTAGTTTGGTTTTTTTTTTTTTTTTCCCCAAGGCGAAAGACTGGATTACATTTTTGAATTGAGAGGGAGGATTAAATAATGATTTCTCTTTCTGCTTTCATAGACTTCCCTCAGAGTTTCTTTCTTGGTTCTGACAGGTAGTGATTTACTTCAATAAAATAATTGTTTTGTTACATCATAGAATAAATAACTACACTTCCAAGAAAGTAAAATTCCTAGTTAGCACTGCCAAAATAATTACTTCTTCAATTTCTTTCAACTTTTATTGAGAATTTTTTTTTTTTTGTTAATTTCTCTAAAAACTTGTTTTTCCAGATTATCTTTAAGAATTGAGCCAGGTAACAGCTCTCCTCGACTGGTTTCCTCCAAAGAAGATCTTGCAGGTATAAAACATCATTTGAAAATTTGAGTAAGGAAATATTTTTAATTACAGAAATCCTATACTGTAGTATATGGGAAAACCCAGAGGTACATCAGTAGCATGAATCAACAAGAAAGATTGCTGACTTATACAAAAGCAGTTCCAGTTCAAGGGACGTCACAGAGTGTTTGCTAGTGTTAGAACAGGTGTCAGATTATGGGATTTTTTTACAATGCTTGCGTTTTCATCATTATTTAATGAGTGAAGAAAAAAGAGCCTTCTTGCAGTACAAAAAAAAAAAACAAAACAACAATGCAGTGAATAACACAGGAAATTCTTCCTTCAGGTCTCTGTGTGATCACATACATTTGAGACAATTTCATTGTGGACAGCAAGAGGACAAAAGATTTGTAGCAACAGTAGCTTCTAGCAACATCTGAAAAACTAGAGTACCATCCATAAGTTGACAAATGCTAATCTGCTGTTTATTGCTATGACCAGACTAAACAAACATCAGGCTATGTGAAATGTACTTCCTGCTATATGAGCCATTATCTCAAAAGCTGTTCTGTTTTCATCTCTCGAACCTGAATGGCCAATTTTCTGTCTCATTATGTAAAACCATGTGTGAATGTAAAAACCCCAAGGAGTCCAGACCACATCTGACATTAATTGGCATTCAAAATGTCTTTTTTTCTCACCAATGAAAGGCACAGTAACTGAGAGAAAGAAAAAGGAAGATGCTAAATACAAAACGAAGAAAAATTCCGTGTGTTTTTCCTCTGCCTCCCAGCTCTTCATGTTGGCTGCTGTCAAATGACCAGTTGTTCATAGGGAACCTCTTGTTTGTCCTTGTTTTGTGATTGCTATTTCCAGAGTCAGATAAACATTTGACCTGGTCATCAGTTTCTTTAGGAAGGTGCTTTTCCTTTCCCTGCTTAATGCTCAGTATTATTAATTGCTGCATAAAGGAATAGTTCACAGGATATTTTGGTTTGTTAGAAGTTCAAAAATAGCTCGTAATGAACACTTTGTTCATACAGAAATGGATTTGGAAGTTAACTTCCCCACAGGAGCCATCACAGTGTTGTTCTCTGTATCTGTGTCTGGAAAGGTGTTGATAAGTTACCAGGCTTCTGCTAAGCAGTGGCCACTGCATTAAGGCTATCTCTCCAAACCCAACCCCCTGCCAAAAAGGCCAATGGGCTGGGATGGGCAAGAGGCTGGGAGGGTACATAGCCAGGACAGCTGATTTAAGCTGCCCAAAGAGATATTCTGTACTATATGATACACTCATCAATAAAAGCTAAGAGAAAGGGGGTAGTGAGGCTGTTATTATTAAGGTGTTTTTCTTCCTAAGCATGTGCTACAATGCTTGGGTTAGGCCGTAGCTTCTTATTGCCCACTGATGGGAAGTAGATGATAAATTTTTCTTTTGATTTCTTTTGCTTCTGTACACAGTTGTTGCTTTTTAAAACTAATTTGCCTTTATCTCAGCCCATAAAGGTTTTGTATCGTATTTTCTTCACCTTGTCCTGTGAAGGATGGGGAGTACTGACAGCCCATGAAAGTCAACCCACCACATCATTCCTCATTTTCTTCTGCTTTTGTGAGGATTTGATTTTTCATACTAAAGACTTGAAACGAAGTCATTGCCTCTCATTTGATTACATCTTTCTTACACATATAAACCAGAGAAATAAACTCTTTGTTTTCTGGCTTTTACTTTGTATTACTCACGTCTGCATGCTCAACTCTTGAACTTTGATGTTGAAGCACTTCATTTGTATGATTATGGAATATAATTTCAGTCGTAGCAGCATGGCATATGATCATCACCAGTACTCTGTAAGTCTTAATCAAGGGCTGAGACCTTATTAGAACTCTAATGGAAGGCAATTAAAAATGCAGTTCCTAAGCTGGAAACGAAAATTTTGAACTTGTCTGATCTAGGCAAGGAATACAGCATGATACTGCAGTGAGCTCAGCTGGAGTCCACAAAAAATGATTGGGACAATGTTCAGTAGTACCTACTTCATTGAATATGTGATCCTATAGTATCTGGTAGTATTAGGAGAGGGTGAATTTTCCCTTCTGAATCTGCAGTGGCCTTCAGTGCTATGTAAGGTTGCTTTACTCAGAGTGAAAATTAATGTGATGAGTAGAAACCAAGTGCTGAGTCATTCCTATTGCTCTATTATTCTGTTAGCATTTCCTTCGAAAGCTTGACCCTTTTGTGGACTGCTCTATTTATTTCTTGCTCAGCTAGAGAATTCTCACTGCCAGTTAGACAATGAATGCCATCAACATTTTGTAATACCCACGGGAATTTTTCAGTGAGCTGCACCTGTGTGGCTGGAAAAATGCTACTAAATGGAATCCAGTACATTTTACTGGAAATAAGTTTTACTGAAAACTTTATTCCTGGAGAAGGTTTATTAGTTAGCATGAATTCAGACAGAAATCTAAGCATGAAGGCAATAATTTATTGTTTATTTCACAACATTAATAAATAGGAGTATTGCCGTATGTTAGTTTTGGATAATTCTGAACAAAAATACTCAAATATTAGTAATGAGATATTTGAACATCGAGAATTAAAAGTAGCACATTTACAAGTATTGCTCTCAATTTTATTTGGATTCAAATTACACCTTGAAATTGATTCCACTTTGGACATTGTATACCAGTAAGTATACAATACTTACCAAAGTAAGTCCTTTGCAGGCGGTAAGCTACAATGATAATAGATGATCTCAAAATACTTTGGGCAGTAGTTTAATGTTCTAGGTAATGGTTTAAGGCATAGGAGTCTGATAATAGTGATTTAAAGTTAAAAGTTCTTAGCCCATAAGGCCAGTCATCAGTTCAGTTGTCCCGATAGTACAAAGGTTATTACATTACTAATAGCAGTAAGTTTAGTTGAGTTTTGCCTGTGACATGCTGCCTCCTTAGAGATCAGCATGTGTTTCCTAAGACACAAAAAAGTTCAATGTCATTGGTAATAATTCCAAAGCCTATAATTGGATTAAGTGCAGGGAATAGTGTCATCTTTGTGTTTTAAAATATAATTGCATGTATTGATGACGGAAATGGATTTTACTTGCCAGCACTGTGAATTTATCTTCTACCCAGTTTTCTCTCTTTCAAAAAAATATTAACAGTTTACTGTAGCCAGAGACATTGTGGGTTTCCTTTTTCCCCTTGAAATATCTTTATGAGTGTGAGGCTCAATAAAAACAGTTAAGTTCTGCAGCATTTCTATTTGCAAAGTGCTGGAGAAAACCATGTGTCCATTTTCCACTTCTTTTGCCAACTAGTTTTCCAGTAAATTCAAACAGGAGGCAGGCATCTGATTAAAGTGACTGTCTCACAACAAGCTATGTTTTGTATATTAGTGGCTAAGAGGGTCTCATTTAATTACCAAATGCATATATAATTGTGAATAGTGCTTTCACAGGAAGATTTAATGTCTTCCATAATGCTGCAGAGATTCTTGTCCCTCGCAAGTATAATTTAAGAAGGAGCTTTAAGCAGTTCAGTTGAATGCTTTTGGGAGCCGTGTGATTCACACAACTTCCTTGGCAGCAGCTTAAGTCTGTTCATTCTGCCTTGCTGTGGTTTGAGAGAGAGAGAGAGAGAATGTAGCTGGCGAGCTTATAGCATGCTAACTGTTCACAGTTTCTCGTTGAATTAGCTGTAAAAGACATCTCTGTTCCTGCAGTGTTAGCTGAAAGGTGCTTGTCATTTATGGTAGGGCTGCTAGGTTGTTTTGGAAGGTATAACTCAATAAATTTTCCCAGAACAAAGGAAAAGATTTAATGCAATATATGGTAAATGTAACCCTTCTAAGCAACTGACGTTCCTCAGAATTTGCACACCAAGTGTAGCTCAGTAGAGAAATGTTCTGTTATGCATACTCTTTCTCATCATGTTATTTGGAAAAGTTCAGTGTGCAGTGCTAAGCAGAACATAAAAAGTGGTTACTCATTCACTGGAATATAGCATATTTGCTCTGTCTTGAAAAACAATATAAAGAGTTAAAATAATGGTAAAATAATTACCATATCCAGAAAATTATATCTAATACTAAGTGACTCAAAGACTGGTCTTAACAATTCTGTGATTTTTAATTAACCCGTTCATTAAAATTAACACCTAGCATTAAATTCTAGCAACAGACAGGCCTCTGCTGTGGGTAGCCCTTATTTTGGGGGATTTGTTATGCAGTAGTCAGAGATGGACCTTCACCTCTCCTTTTGGTTTTTTTTTTTCCTTTTTGTTTTTTCCCCCAAGTAGGTCTTGGTGTAATTCTTGAGGGGAAAATAATTAGACCAGAGGTTTTCTGTTACCATCATACCAGGAACGTGGAATAATTAATCTGAAACAGGTATATTCTCTTCTTTGTTACCGGGGTAAAATTCAACCCATATTGCCAAGTCCATTCAGCTTTGAGAGCTAGCTCATAATAAACTTAGAGTATATGTTTTAATTAATTAGAAGAGGTCAATTATTGGATGTAGAATATGTGATATATAGGAGTTGAAAATCTAGAAACAGAAGGAAGAAAGACTGGGGATGTTTGCACATTTGTAACCCTCTGAACTTACTGTACTACATTAGTGATATCTCTACTGCAGTTACAGCATTTTATAATAAAAAACCCCCACACTATCATTTTCCATGTAAACACTGAGTTTGACATTTAGTTTTGCCATTTGTTTTACTGGTTGCTTTGGCAACTAATAAATAGTTTGTGCTAAGTGCTTTAGCAGCCAGTCATTCTGTGGAAATGAGGATTGTCTAATCCTTGTGCAAATTCTTGGTCATTGCTTCATGTGCACCATGTCTGCTTTTCTTACGCAGGACTTAGGGTAGAAATGGAAGAACTAAGTTTTCTTCACATAAATTTACAGACTGTCCAGAAAACTTTACTCTTTGGTTTACGTTCTCTTCCTGTGTGATACTTTCCTGAGAAACTTTTACAACTCACTGGAGTATTTTTGAAACAAATCAATACCA